AACTGCAGGAGCATGTTACTTTACTATCCTGCTTTTCCTTCCTTTCCTGGAGAAGTACAAATGCAAGATCTCAAGTACAAGACACAAGCAGACTCAGTAAGCTCAGACCTGACAACTGTTCTCACTCACTCACTAGCCCTTTAACTCTCCATCTCTCATTTCACCAATGACCTAGAGCTGCCCTCTCTGCATTTCTGATTAGCCACTTCCTAAGAGGCTGTGGCTAGTGTCCTGCCTGATGTGTCTGTCTCTTCTCTGACGGCCCCTCACTCTGCCTACTGTGTTATGAGATAGTATCTTTGTCAGATTCTTTACTCTTCCATGTAGTTATTAACACTATTTCAAAACATTTTTCCTTTCATTTTTAAAGTAGAATTGGTAGTATTATGTCCATTTTCTATGAAAACAGAAAAAAGACTACAGGTATAAAGCTGACAAGATTTAAATCTAAGTACTTCCCCTTCTTTCTTTAATTCTCTTGTGAAATTCCATAGCAAAGAATTCGAAACAGCCCAACCATAAGCTAAAAGTAACAGATATTCAGAGTACTTCTTAAAAAGCAAATTTATTATCAAAGAATACTACACACCTTTCACCCACATTTTCAATTCTGAATCAAGTTTGATGTTAGGTCATTAGTGGTCAGCATTTAGTCATTCCAGATGTTTGTATCATCATATGCAGTTAATCCACTTGCTCAAAAACCTCACGATACTTTATATACCAGAACCTGCTGACTTCAATACTGCATCTTTCCTTTTTTTCCCCAGTATATTGCTTCTTTATGTCTGCTTTTATCCCCAATCCTAAATTGGCCATGTTTGGCATAAACAACAGAGGCAACAAATAGTAATAAAGTGTGGTGAGTTTGAAATATGGTTAACTACACAGAAAGCTAACATGATATAGTGAAAAAGCACACCACAGACTAGGGAAAAAATGGTGTATGGCTTATTCAGAGAAGAAAACTCTCTCTAAATGCAGGCTTGCAGCCACTGAACAACACCCTATAACTTTTCTCCTATCTAATGCTCTGACAACTAAATTTCTCTGTAATTCAATAAGCTCTTAGGAAGTTACCCAGGCTTCATCCATCCTGCCAGGCTCATTCATGTTTTCCCTGCAAGCTAAGAGCACCTTTTCTGTTGAGTAGCACAGAAGTTGTGTCCTCTTTCAACACATCAATAGTCTACTTTTCATTTTTATGGAAATCTACTATAAATACAATCAACAATGAAATGTTTAAATTATAACTCAGGTAAGTGGTTGGTCCTATAGGTGGCCAGTTTTATATATTATATGAGGGCTAGCTTCATAAATTTTTAATTAAAAATCTATACTTTTACTCTTGGCACTGTTTCATTTACTTATATCTAATGAGGTAAATGAATGCCAAATTTTAAAAAAATGTCAGATATCTGTGAATGAAGTTAATGAGAATAGGTCACAGATTCAAACTCCATGAGGGCCAATTAGCTTTGCAATGTTTCAGGCTCCATAGTCCCAGTCAACCACCTTAACCTTGGGTAACAAAGAAACACACTGATTGTGTGAAACAAGAGAGTAATTATTATAATCAAAATCCGTAACTGTCATAAAATAATAAAAACTAAAAGTACTAATATGAGCAACTCTATTTTCTCCTAAACTTGACTAATATATGCCTATCTCATATCTCTTTTCAACCATAAAGCCTAATATCCCTACTTTACTGATGATGTGAAGTGAATTCAAAAGTAGGAACTAACCCTACATCCAGCAGAGAAAGACTGTATACAGAACTTTGACTCCAAAGCTTACGGTGTTGCCACAATACAGTATGGCCTCACCTACTTATGTCATATAGCATAAGATAATAAAATGTTCCTAATGTTCCTATTCATCAATCACTGAGCATCTACTATGTATGCAGTTATGAATGAAATCTACCTTCCAAAGTCCTTTTAAGTAAAAAGGAGTCAAACAGCAAGTTTTTGAAACAAAGGAAACAACACAATATGCACACGGATTTTAATATACATAACTTTCTACTATTATAGCTATATAAATATATACATACTTGTGTCAGTATATATACATATATACATGTGTATACACACACTACAGTGCAAAAAAAAATCATGCTGAAGCATAACTAAAGGTAAGAATGAATCTAAAAAGAAGAGGGTACAACATGAAAGAGAACAATTCTTGGCCTTTTGGTGAAGATAAAGTATACACACACACACACACACACACACACACACACACACACATATATATTTTAAAAAAGGAATAAAGGAAAAATACACACACACACACACACACACACACATATATTTTAAAAAAGGAATAAAGGAAAAATATCCTTAACAACATCTGAAAAAACTAAAAATAGTATTTCAATTCTTTATTTTGATGTTGTTTTATTTTTTCAAACCAGGTAGCCCTGGCTGTTCTGGAACTTGCTTTGTAGACCACACTGGCCTTAAACACTGGCATGCACTACCACCACTCAGCATATTTCAACTCGTTATCCATAAGGTTTTGCCCTAACATAGCCGGGCATGGTGGGGGTGAGTGGACAAAGAGATAGTTGGATCTCTGGAGTTCAAGGCCAGCCTGGTCTACAGGGCTGTTACACAGAGAAAATCTGTTTAAGATTTTACCCTGATCAACAAATCATGTCTGTAAGGCTATCCTCCTTGGCTTCTCTAAACTTATTCCTTACAGATAAAGAGAGAACCAGGATGTCAGCAAAGGTAATCACTAAGTTTCTACCTTTTAAAAAATGAGGGTCACTGTAACAGGAAAAAATAAAAGACCCAGAGACTGATACTGGGGTTCAAGCTTCAAGCTGAAGATCAGAAAAGCAAAGCAGTCAGTCACCAGCTCTCACCTTTAGCTCAGACTGAAGGTGCTGATCCACGATGGAGCTCTTCACCAAGCCTCAGACTGCTGTCTCTCCTCAGTGTGGCTGGAGAACGAAAAGCCTGAGACCTTGCTCCTTTCCTTTATACAGTCTCTAATGTTGGGATTAAAGGTGTGAGCTATAATTCTCTTTTACACTGATTCACTCTTGAGTGGATCTGGGTGGCCTTGGACTCACAGAGATCTGGCTGTCTCAATCCTGAATCCTAGGATTAAAGGTCTGTAGTACCACCTCCTGGCTTCTGGCTGCTGGGATTAAAAGTGTGTGACTGACTTCTATGGCCTGTAACTAACAAGGCACAAGAAAAATTGAAATCTCCAGAAAAATATTAACTAAAGCACATACCCAGCAATCATTTCACAACAGCACTGTAGGAAACCCTAATAGTTTAAAAAAAAAAAAAAAGGCAATCATACACACATTTAAGACAAGCTCAAGAGATCAATCTGCCTCTTGTGCTGGAATTAAATAAAGGCTTTTCTTGGTGGTGGTGGCTGTTACTGTTAGTACTAGGGAGAGAACCCAGAACCTAATGCACTCTTTTATCACTCAACTATACATCTCAACCCTTGCAATGTTTATTAAAAATGAAATTATTATGAAGAAAATCTGTAATTTTGATAACTTTTTTGGTTTGTTTGACCTAATACACTTTCCTTCCATCCTTGTTTTCTCTAAACCATATTTAAATTTTTTCCAATCAACAATTTCAAACAAATTTATAAATTACTATATCCCAAATCCTTTCGAAGTTTGCAAACTTCTCTACAAGGGCGGGAGGGGGGGGGTCCCACAGATACAATAAGCAGCCATTCAGAATCTTAAATCTTTACAGTCAGAAAACAGACTACAATATTAGCTATTTATATTCTGAGTCCTCTGAGGAAAGACCCCTAGCAAGTACACACCAAACAGCTAAAGTACCTGCTACATGAGCAGGACGTGAAAAGGCGGGGGAAACCCACAATGGCTAAACAGTGGGAAGAAGTTCAGGACCAAGCCGGGGAGCTCTAAGTCTTAGGAAGTGCTTGTTACCTGGAGTGCTTACAAGACAAGTTGTTGTTACAGAGAAAGAGGGGAGTCAACTTAAAGAAACTGTGTGGAAGGCAGTCCACATTCTGATGGGCCCTGAAGTTTTAAGTTGACTCCACAGGTGGCAGGGCCCTAATGTCATCTCTCCAGTAGAAACCTAACATAACATTTGTATCTTTCGTCTCAGTTTCCAAAGAGATCATTTATTACCTCACCTTCATTAAGACATGAACGTGATTTTAAAATGCAACTGGCCTGGACAGAACAAAGGGGAGAATACTAAAGCTTTAGTTTAAACAGGCGTTAAAGTCCAAACGTTTCACATGTACATCATTTCTGCTGAAACCCACAAAACTGAAGGCAGAGTACCAAAAAGCCTGTCCCCCCCCCCCTTTTTTTTTTTTGTTTCAGACAGGGAAACCAAAAAGATCACCACCAGTCCAGCATGGGGCCGACCCATCATCCTCTCGGGATCCAGACACTAAACCCCTGTGCTCCTTCCCTCAAAACTCAGATGCGGCGAAAAAGAAGTTTTAAGGGATTGGAAGTTTTCCGAGGACCGCCCAAGAGCAGGAAGTACACACTACTTTATAAACGGCTCACTGACAGTCCATAGCCCGGGGCTCCGGGCAGCGGAGCAGACGTGCCACCATCGAGCACTGCCCGGGAGCCTGCGATCCAGAGGTCATCTCGGAGCGACCTCGGTGACCCACAGGCCGGCAGCCCACGGGGGTCCCACAGACCCCGCTACCTGTTGACACACTACAGGGAGAAGATCCCTGCGAGAAGCATTAGGGCTGAGGCTCGAGGCCGGCAGGGCCTGCGAAGCCTGAAAGACAGAAGGGACCTGAGGGGCCCTCCTGTCCCGGGGCCCTTCGGGGTCGAAGGGCGGCAGCGTCCTAATAACCCCCGCCCCAGGCGGTGGCCTGCCCCGAGAGTCACGTGAAAAATAAAACCAAACAAACAGAGGGTCCTATCCCGGGCGGGAGGGGAGAAGCCAGGGCAACCAGCCCCAGCTCAGGGTGCGAAAGAATCGGGGGCAGGGGTTCGTGGTTACCGGGACGCCGTCGCTCTCCGCTTCCGCTGCCACCATGAAGCGCCTGCTCTTCCGCTCGCCGCTGGGGTGCGCGCCAGGCCTTGGCTCCGCCCGCACCGCGGCGCCTCCTGGGAGTTGTAGTCTTTGTGAGGTCTGGTTACGTCACGTAGGGGCGGGGCTGGAAAATGGAGAGGGCGGGAGGGCGTTAACGCCCCTCTATCTCCAGTATCGTCCGTCCTCCATCTCCACCCTCAGCTGTGAACGTGCTCAAATCTCCTCACGTCCTACTCAATCATACCATGTCTTTTCCCCCGTCCACAGGCGAGTTTCTTCGAGCGTAATCTACGCTTACTGTCTCCACTTCCTTCCTTGTGTGTGCTGTGTTCTACACTGCAGCTTCTGCCCCCGCGGAAAATGTCCTTGTTGCAGCCAGTGTCCTTGTCGCCAAACCCACTAGAGGTATTTTCAGGCTGTCTAACTTGAGCATTACTCATTTGTTGCTGTTGGACATTATCATTTATTTTCTATGACACTATCCAGCTTTGCCTTCCTCATTCCAAACTGTTTGACTCCGTCTCTTCCTATAATTCTTTTTGTCAAATTCTCCTTTTAAATACTGTTCTCTGCAGTTCTTAGAATGGGGGCAGAGGGAGCCCAGCTCCGCCCCTTTTCGCCTTAGCTTACTGTACTCCCAGCTTCTAGACAGCCTTGTCTCCTTGCTGTCTTGCTTGTCAAAAATGGCTGGAAAGCTTTGGTGGGCTAAGGGTATAGACCAGCGATTGCCTAACAAGTGGGGGGGGGGGTTCTGGGTTCAAGCTTCCAACACTATAAAAGAAAAAGAAATATTTGAAAAGTATAGACTGTCTCTCCTCTCTGGCCACTGACGTTTGCTCTTTCTTCCCTTTGGTTTGTCTCCATCGCCTCTTCATCCGTGTTGGAATGCTAACCAAACCGTGAAGATTCTCTAACTCTGGCTCTTGAGTCTTACATTTCCACTGCCAGTTATTTAATTCCCAGCTGCTTCGCTTCTTAGCTGATTACTGTCCCCTTTACTGCTCCCAGTGCCACTGTGGGGTCCTCCCCACTGCCAAAGGCCAGTTTGTATAAATAACCAATTTAATCAAGGCATGTTTGTGTTAAAAATCCTGTGAAGACACCATTTAATTGAGTTTGAGAGAAGGGATGAAGGCCAACACCTTGGATAGCTTTTATAAAATAGGAGTCCCAATCCACTACTCTCCTTCCCATCTCTTAAGAGGCCCAAAGAGAGAAGACATAGCAATCTCATTATAGGGCACATAGGTATGAGCCTCCTTAAAAATCCCTCCCCCTCCCCAGTGATTTGACCATCAAAATCATTGTATTTTGTACCAGTGCTAGGGGCTGAAAATAACAGAAAGAACAGTTCCTACCCCTGTGAAGTTTATATTACCATACAAAGAGACAGATACTAATCAAATAGTTCCATATCAAAAAGCAAAAGCAGCAACAGCAACAAAACACAACCATCAGCTTCACTGGGAATTGTGGAAGAAATGTAACCTGTCCTTTCCTCTTTCTCTACTACTGCCACAGCCTAGGTTAGTGTACTGACTGTGTGTCAACTTGACACAAGCTAGAGTCATCAGAGAGGAAGGAGCCTCAGCTGAGGAAATGCCTCCATGAGAAACAGCTGTGGGGCATTTTCTCAACTAGTGATCAGTGGAGGAGGCCACAGCCCATGATGGGTGGTGCCATCCCTGGGCTGGTCTTGGGTTCTATAAGAAAGCAGGCTGAGGGCTGGAGAGATGGCTCAGCTGTTAAAGGCTAAGCTCACAACCAAAAATATAAGAAAGCAGGCTAGCAAGCCAGGAAAAGCAAGCCTCACCATCAACTCCTGCCTCCCCATTCCAGCCCTGCTTAATTCAGTTCCTGTTCTGACTTCCTCCAATGACAGATCTGGAAGTGTAGGCTAAATATACCCTTTCCTCCCCAACTTGCTTTTGGGTCATGGTTTTTTTTTTTTTTTTTTTTTTTTTTTTTTTTTTTCCATCACAACAATAGAAACCCTAAGACAGTCAGGATCTGTGTTCCTCAGTCTAAGAAAAAAAGTCAGACCTGGAGAAAGCCAGACTGTTTGAGGCTTGGATTAAGTCATGTGCACGTGCCTAGGGAAGCAGAGGTAGGCTGAGTAGGTAAACCAGAACAATTAAATGTGGGCCACTGGGAAGCAGAGCTGTGTTAACTAGTTTAGCAGAATTGGGCTTGAGCCAACAAACCACAGATTCTGCAAAACACACTTCATCCACCAAGCCTTTGTTGAGTATCTGCTACCCATGGTGAGTTATTAAAACAACTGGCAAAAGGAAGTATTTGCACCACAAAAGTCAACAAATGACACAGCTGGTGTTCCTCATCTGCCACCCTCACCTCACCTAGCACCATCAGTCTTTGTCATAGTATTTACCCCTACATTATGTAATCTCAATACTTCTCTACTGGATGGATTCCACTCATCAACTTGGTCTAACAAGTACAACCGATAGTAAGTACTGTGTACCGAAGATTTAGCAAGACCCTTAGTGAAGAATTAATAAGCAAGGTCCTCACTGATTTTGGTATTTAACAGTCTAGCGGATGAGTCTGAACATGTCAAAGTCTCTACCTTCAAAGGAAACTGGGCTGCTGTACAATTGACTATTTCAGTAACTTTAACAAGGTGGCCCAAGGAGGCTTCTTTGAAGAGCTGACTGTCCTCTTAGCACTGGAGGATGAGAAAGAGACGGCTAAAGGGGAGACTCAAGCAGTGTTCCAGCCAAAAAAAGGGTTCAACTAACTGAAGAGTGAGGCTATTCAGGACAAGATGGTTAGTTTTGCTTCAGGGGACAGAATGTGTGCCACCGTGAGAACCCCAAATGAAATTATAGCCACCGAAGGGTTGAAATGGGGTACTATTATCTGGTTCACATTTTAATACAAACCGTCTTGCTTTTGTTTGAAGGACAGGAGTAGAGGTGGGGAGTCCTTGTATTGTAGTGAGGCCTAGCGCCAGCAGTGGGATGGAGAAAACTGGGGGAGTCTGACAAGACTTGCTCACAGACTGAATATAGTGGAGGAAGGGCTGGAGAGGAAAGGGTAGGACCACAGGTATTAATTCCCTGCATCCATATCGCCAGCCCTAGAATTGGGCCTGGCACATAGCAAGCATTCAGCTTTTGTACATTATACATTGTACAACGTACATTTGTACATTGTGTTTGCTAAACTGTGTCCCATTCCTTTAAAGTTGCTCAATTCAGGGTCTCTACTAGCCCATATTAATACTATTGTGCAAAATAGAAGGGCAAAGCACCTCTTCCTCCGGATGGGCACAACCCACTACCAGGATACAGACTACTAGCAGAGTATGGACCACATCCTATGCCCCATTTGCCCCTCAGTTGGCACCCTTTGGCAGTGCACAATCTGCCCAGCCACATATAGCTGGGCTTAACTCAGCATCCCTGGGAGGTAGTTTTGTGGCATCTAGCCCAGTATTCATGGAGAGAATTTGAGGTCCAGCGGAAGGAAGCTGCTTGCCTTGGGTCACCGGAGCTGCTGCTGTGACTGAGATTCAAACCTTTGCCATGGAAATCCCTGTGGGCTCTTTAGCCTTGGAGCCACATTGTCTCTTCCAAATCACTCAGCCCATCGATAAAAAAGCTAAATTCAAAATGGTGACTCCACTTCCTAGAGTTTCTCATCTGTCTGTTACTATTGTTAGAGTATTTCACATTTACATAGCATCCAATATGTGTTCTGTACCTTACAAAATACAATAAAGGAACATGAAACCCGAAGACCTTCCTTTTTTAAAACAGAGTAAATGGGGAATGGCTGGTTTAAAGGGCCCTTAGCGCTGAATGAAAATGAGCTGTGGCATATTGGTTTAAGATGACACTGTAAGCAATACCAAAAATAATAAGAGCTCATATGCAAGGTGCTTTTCCTTCCCATCCCCAACCAGAAGAAAGAGAGGGCTATTGGAACAGCTGGCTCCATAAATGTAAATTAGGGAGAAGGTCACGGAGTGGAGGTTCCAAGGACACAAGGAAGAAAAAACATCATCCTGAATGCAGAAAATCCCTCCTTTAATAAATAATAACATCTAGTGGATAACAAGTGCTTAGTGTGTGCGGGATCAGTGCCAAACCCTTTGTACACTGATCCAAGTCAGTCCTCATTCGGTCTTATTGTATAGGGTCCATATGTACTGTCATTTCCCACTAGAGGAAACTGAGGCACAGAGGGATTGCATATATGCCCGAAGCCATGGAGCTAATAGGCTTGAGATTTGAACTAACACCATCTGGCTCCAGAGCTCTCAATAGCTACACTAGCATTCCACCACTTCATTGCTCTATGCTTCCTAATGCCAGGTCCCCTGTTTCAGCTCTGTGACCCTCTGGAGTCCTGGGATAGCTAGCAGAGGTTGGGGGACTTTAACAAAGTCATCTCCAGCCTAGTTTCAAAACAGACAGTCCTGAAGAGATGTGTCTGCAAGGAAATGGGCAGAGATAGGTTGTGTTGGAGATAAGTTCTAATCCAGCTGGGGAACATTTCACAGAACTCTCCGAATACAATGTCATAATTACCCATATGGTATGGTAGATGGAAGAGACAATGTTATCAGGATAGAGGGACTAAATAAGCCTTCTTCCTGGAAGCACACACTCTGATCGGTGCCTCCTAACATAAGAAATCTTTCCTTTTGTGGATTTCTGCTCACAAATACCAAGAATCCAAGTTTCACTGGGCTTTTAGGGGTTGACCGATCCCCTTCTGCCTAGTATTTGTAAGTACTGCTATTAAAACAACATGGTATAAGCCAATGCTGGAGAGTTTGTAGCACATCAAGAGGCCAGGGCATCTGCAGATAGTTCTTGGGTCAATTCCTTTCTATTACAGTGACTCCATACCCTAAAATTTAATGGGAGCCCAGAGGACTCCCCAGTTCTCACTGAAACCACCATAAAAAAAAAGCATACTACCTTGTTCAACCTCAGAACTGTGGGGTCACAGCACCTGACATAGTTTTCACTTGTCATCATATATATGTACCCATATTCACTTCCTGAGGTGTGTGTGGTTAAGCCTATGCTATGCCACAAAGCCTACTCGGAGAGACAAGCTCAGTGACTTTGTGTCCATATTCACTCTGGAT